ATGTAGAAGATCAAGTGAATAGAGCAAACAAAACCGCAGGTTAGCTGAATGTAACAATATGGAGAAATAAAAATATCAGGAAAGAAATAAAAGGCAGAAATACGACCTGACACAGAGAGGACAAAATGGATGTACAAAAATTGATGAAAAAACACTATGAGAGAGAGCTAGAAGTACAAATATACGACATAGATGCAAGATGGGCAATATGGAGATCATCACAGACTGGGTTAGAAATAGAAGAGTAGAATATAAGCATCATATAATCCGAATGACAATAAATAGAGTAGTAAAGACGGCAAGAGATGGTTCCCCAATCCACAAGGAAAAATTCCTGTAGCTGGCTGTATACCACGTATAATAAAAAGAGGTTAATCTTTGTAAATGGGTATATTTATTTAAAAAACCCTTAAAAGGGCCACATCAATAGAACAAACGTTTTCGGACTAAACAGTCCATCATCAGGTTATTAAAATCGAAAATGCCTAAAAATAAGTATAAACCATTTAGTTAAAACAAACGAGATTTTGAAATTTTGACTAAGGTTGAAAAGCAAAAGATGGTTATACTTACTAGGTCATAATGCCTGAGCCACCAAAATATTAGGGTAAAAACCCTTTAAATTACATTTAGTTATGAAATGTTGTACATTGTGTTATAAAATAACTGTGATGTTCTATATTAAATTAAATTTGACCAAAGGTAACACATGGCTCAAATGGGTTCCAGAGCCGGGCGAGAGACAACCTCTGCGCTCGGAGAACAACGTGGAACTGATTGACAAGATACTTTTGAAGGATGAAGATAACAGAATGTCAATGCAACAAAAACTATAAAAGTTGTACATAGTATTACTACAGCCAAAAGATTCAACAAGTTTTGATGATTTTAAAAATAACAACAATATAGGTGTTGGGATTTAAAAACTTTTTATTTATTAATTTAGGGTATAAAAGATGTCAAATCAATGATGGTTTTATAGTCATGATTAATATAATGACCTGTGCCTTAGGCAACTTATGTTGCTTTTCGTCGTATGGAATGTGGTCTAAAGTGTATTTAATTTTTGGGTTAGCTTGTATTTGTGAAATTTATCCTTTTATGTTTAACACATCTAGGACAAGGTAAAAATTAAATAACAAATATTTGAAGCTAATATAAGACCTCATGTTTAAATGACTTTATTTAGGAATGCTCCTATGGTGAAGAATTAATAAAATTAAGTTTAGTAAGATGGAAATCTACAGGCTGAAGAAATTGAAGTAGTAACATATGTGATTGAATTTAAAATCGAAGAGACTGGGTTCCTCAGAGACTGATGAGAATGAAATTAAAAGAAATGAAAGGAGGGGGGGTTGAAGGAGAAAAGGAGTTGATCAACAATTAGAGATAATAGGGGTCCTTTATACTTAAAGTATCTAGCACCCTGAACAAAATCTATTTAGGTGGTATTAAATTCAGTTTGTAGAAACCTGAAATTTGTTGTATAAGTGTGCTACTAAGTTGTTGACCGAAAGAAGGTGGACAAAGGTAGATTAGGATTCTATGTAATATGGTAGATTATGAATTTTAATAAATTGTTAGATAATGTTTAAGTGATTACTAAATTAAAACTATTGGATACATGTTTAATATATGAATTGACCAAGAAATAATGAAAGAGAACAAAATTAACAGGAAAACGATGTAGAAGTGAAGAGTGAAGTGAGTGAAGAGATAAGATAGTGAAATGTTGGTATGGTGGATGTGGATGGTTCTGAAGTTAAAATTGGGGTCAGAAATTTGTGAGAGGAAGGTGTGACGATATTGTATAAAAAGGGGTGTTTGAAGAACCACAAGATTATGTAGGAATAAGGTGTTGACGTTTGTATAGGAAAATAAGGCAAAGAGAATAGGGACATATTCAATAATGGATATGACCCAACATCATTAACAAACTTATAAATAAGAGACAACTCAAACTATTGAGAGAGACTGCGTTTCCAGAGACTTGACATCAAAACTCAGTATTTTTCTTTGCCTTACTTCAAGAACGTCTTTCTGGAGATCTTAGATACATCTAAAAAGATCTGTTGAGAATACCCACATTTCTTTCAAAGTCCGAACAATCTAGGACAATGCTTAACTAATACAAAAGATCCATCAACTACATGGATCGTAGTGGCGTTTATAAATTACAGTGCTCTGATTGTGATGCTACATATATAGGTAGAACCTGTAGATCACTAACTTCTCGTTCCTTAGAACACACTAAAAAAGAGAACACTTCCACCTTCTCTCAACATCTTGCACAACATAAACATACCCTCAACATCCCAGAAGACGTCTCTTTGTTACATAATATTCCCCAAAAAAATTTTCTAAAATTAGACCTATATGAAGACTTGGAAATAGTCAAAGAAAAACAAAAAAGCCCCAATTGTGTTAATCGCCATGTATCTTTCAACCGTGACTTTCAACCTTTACATCGTCAACTTTTTTCATAGTCCACACTTCACAATACTGTCCTATTTTCTTTGCCTTATTTTCCTATACAAACGTCAACACCTTATTCCTACATAATCTTGTGGTTCTTCAAACACCCCTTTTTATACAATATCGTCACACCTTCCTCTCACAAATTTCTGACCCCAATTTTAACTTCAGAACCATCCACATCCACCATACCAACATTTCACTATCTTATCTCTTCACTCACTTCACTCTTCACTTCTACATCGTTTTCCTGTTAATTTTGTTCTCTTTCATTATTTCTTGGTCAATTCATATATTAAACATGTATCCAATAGTTTTAATTTAGTAATCACTTAAACATTATCTAACAATTTATTAAAATTCATAATCTACCATATTACATAGAATCCTAATCTACCTTTGTCCACCTTCTTTCGGTCAACAACTTAGTAGCACACTTATACAACAAATTTCAGGTTTCTACAAACTGAATTTAATACCACCTAAATAGATTTTGTTCAGGGTGCTAGATACTTTAAGTATAAAGGACCCCTATTATCTCTAATTGTTGATCAACTCCTTTTCTCCTTCAACCCCCCCCTCCTTTCATTTCTTTTAATTTCATTCTCATCAGTCTCTGAGGAACCCAGTCTCTTCGATTTTAAATTCAATCACATATGTTACTACTTCAATTTCTTCAGCCTGTAGATTTCCATCTTACTAAACTTAATTTTATTAATTCTTCACCATAGGAGCATTCCTAAATAAAGTCATTTAAACATGAGGTCTTATATTAGCTTCAAATATTTGTTATTTAATTTTTACCTTGTCCTAGATGTGTTAAACATAAAAGGATAAATTTCACAAATACAAGCTAACCCAAAAATTAAATACACTTTAGACCACATTCCATACGACGAAAAGCAACATAAGTTGCCTAAGGCACAGGTCATTATATTAATCATGACTATAAAACCATCATTGATTTGACATCTTTTATACCCTAAATTAATAAATAAAAAGTTTTTAAATCCCAACACCTATATTGTTGTTATTTTTAAAATCATCAAAACTTGTTGAATCTTTTGGCTGTAGTAATACTATGTACAACTTTTATAGTTTTTGTTGCATTGACATTCTGTTATCTTCATCCTTCAAAAGTATCTTGTCAATCAGTTCCACGTTGTTCTCCGAGCGCAGAGGTTGTCTCTCGCCCGGCTCTGGAACCCATTTGAGCCATGTGTTACCTTTGGTCAAATTTAATTTAATATAGAACATCACAGTTATTTTATAACACAATGTACAACATTTCATAACTAAATGTAATTTAAAGGGTTTTTACCCTAATATTTTGGTGGCTCAGGCATTATGACCTAGTAAGTATAACCATCTTTTGCTTTTCAACCTTAGTCAAAATTTCAAAATCTCGTTTGTTTTAACTAAATGGTTTATACTTATTTTTAGGCATTTTCGATTTTAATAACCTGATGATGGACTGTTTAGTCCGAAAACGTTTGTTCTATTGATGTGGCCCTTTTAAGGGTTTTTTAAATAAATATACCCATTTACAAAGATTAACCTCTTTTTGGTTCCCCAATAGAAAGACGATCAGTAGGAAGACTACGAAAACAATGTAATGACAAGTTACTGGAGGCACATTGAAAAACACGCATGAGTCATGTCTGCATAAAAACAAGGAGAATAATAAAAAATTAGATATGCAACTATAGTTTAGAGAAAGAAATACAGCATAAAATGATTAAATGCTTTATCTAGAGTTATACGAGTTTATTAAACTACATAAACTTCGATTTGTTAAGTATTTAACTGACGTATTATTAGTAGTTTTGGAGATAATGTATCCTAATGTAAGTTTTTAAAAAAAATTTATTTAAAAATCCTTTATAAAAGATATATAATTAAAAAGACCCTTTAGAGCTACATCATAACAGAACGTTTTCGGACTAATAAATCCATCATCAGTGCATTTACCAGATATGCATGAGTCAAGCCACTAAATATAATTTTAATAGATACCCTGCATAGCAACGTAAGACTTCTAATTCAGGGTTTGCTGAACCTGACACGATGTCTCTAGATAATTGCTTAGTTGCCCTTAACTTTCTTTTCTATTTATGCGCAGATGACCAGCTACTTCTCGAATGTCGTACTATAGTTATACCAATACTTCTAATAGTATCGCATTTTTAAATAAAATTTGAATATAAATCGTTTGATAGTGTATTAAAATCCACCAATAAGTTATAACTTTGTAATAAATTTTAGTAATAGATTAAAAGTGAGCGTGAAATCAAACTTATGTCGCTTATTAAATTTGATGTAAATATACAAATTGTGGTGGTAGAGGTAGTGGATTTTCTAAACAGCTATGAGTCATGCATGCGCAAAGTATAAATTTACGCTTCGACCGTACAAATTTTCTGCAAAATCCACAAACTGTGGATTTTGCAAAATGTTTTAGACAAATGTTTTTGGAATTGTCTAAAATGCATATACTGAAGGTAAGTTATGTAATATGTCGTTACCTTTGAAGTTTATTATAAACTGGGAGTTTATCTTGCAGATTTTGATCTATACGTACTGGAATGGGAGCTACACCTTCTCTTCTTTCTTGTGATTCAATTATACTGCCGATACTTGGCTGAAAAGAATGTTTTTATTCAAATTTTATCAAATGGAAATTTAGTTGGAAACAAATTTTTATAACTAATATAAGAAAAAAATAGTTATTTTTTATAAATAGTTCTATATGATATCAAATCTAAAGTTCAACTGATAAATATTAAATATTTTTAGTTCACATTACTGCTATACAAGGAGTACGATCGACGGTCCACAGCATAATCCAAAAAGGAAAACATGATTATAGTTGCGACAGAACGCGACACGATTTTAGGACAATCTTTATAGATTTTAAGCCAATAAGCTTACGAATGAGCTGCTTAAAGATCAGAGGCAAGTGCTTTAATATTGGTCTTATTAACTTACGTGTCCTAACAAAGGACAAGGAAGAAAAAGGGAAAGCACCTATGACACTTGTCCCAGAAATGACATTAAGGTAGTTGTCGGAAATCTGAATAAAAAAATCTAAAAGGAGGAAATATATCTACTTCACATTGAGTATGTCTTCATAATAAAACCAATTCTAATGGAAACCGACTAGTCAGCTTTGCAGCCACTAAGAACATAAAAATGTTGACTTAGATTTTACCCGATGGATTATCAAATAACCAAATTGATCATGTGCTTATATATGCTAGACACTTCTACAATCTAATGGATGCCAGCACCTACCGAGGTGACAACTTTGATTCAGACCAACATCTGGAGTTACACTTCATCGAAGTTGAAGATGAAAATTCTCCACCCTCAGGCACAAAAAACAATACACTATTAGAACCTACTTTAATTCAAAAAGTACAGAATACACAAATAGATCTAAAAAATAACAAAACTTCAGGAAATGACAGTATACCTGCAGAACTTATTAAATGTGGGAGTGGTACACTTATCAATCAGATGTTTAAAAAATAATAGTACGAGCTTAGAATGAAGAAGAAATGCCGGAAGAGTCGTTTACTGGAATTTTTTTTCGAGGTAAACTTAAACAGGAAAACAAAAATACCAAAACAATATATTAAACGCTTATATTGCTAGTGCTGACATATAGATCGGAAACACGCACCATTTCCAAGACAGATGGAAACCTCTTATTACCACAAATAAAACAGATATCGGGTTAAGACGTAATATCTATATTAAAAATATGAAGGCTAAGATGGCCAGATATCATGGACAGACAAGATAACCAACGAGACGGTATTACGAAGAGTGGGCAAAGAAAGAGAGGTGATGTATACGATTAAAAGGAGAAAGTTGGAATATCTCGGACATATAATGAGAAACAGCACTAAATACAGATTACTGAAGATAATCCTACAGGGTAAAGTATTCGGAAAGCGAGGAATTGGGAGAAGGAGAATATCATGGTTGAAGAACCTGAGGAAATGGTTCTCCACAACAACAACGAATTTATTTAAAGCAGCAGTTAATAAAATAATTATAGCCAGAATGATTGCCAATATTCGGAACGAATAGGCACTGAAAGAAGAAGAAGAAGATGGCCAGGACATATAGCAAGATCATAACACAATAACCCTCCTAAAGAGAATCTTTATGTCACAGCCAGTGAGAAGTAGACGAAGAGATAGGCCAAAACTTAGATGGAAAGATGGTGTAGTTGATGATGATAGCAAAATAGGTACACCAAACCAGCAACGGTTCGTACTGTATAGGGCTGACTAGGGAAACAGACTTAAGAAGTTTGAGGCTGTATTAAAGGACTGTAGCAAGAATGGTAATGATGATAGGAGGAGAAGAATTGGAAGAAGAAAGCCTAAATAATATATACAGTAATAAACTCGCGAGAAGACTAAAAATAACATCAATGGAAAATAGTATAGAGGATGAATGGTTAAAAATAAACGTGGAAGTAGTAAAAACAGCAGAAGAAATAATGAGACAAAGAAAGAAAATATAATAAATATAAATAAAAAATTCCTGAGTCCTGAGTCCTATTTTTATCACATAGAAGGTAAAAAAAAATAAAAAAATGGATTCAGGTTTTATAAATAGTAAAAATATGGTTAACCCCGCAAAAACTTTAAAAACTTTAAAAAACATATTTTTTGGGGTTTGAACGTGTTTCGCCCAATTTTTGAATGTCCTAACAAACTTAGTTACTTCAAACTACATATATCTAACCTATATGGGGTGGCGGGTAAAAAAACGAAAAAAATTCAAAATCCACAAGGAAAAAAATTTCCTGTAGCTGGCTGTAGGTATACCACGTATCACAAAAAAGAGGTTAGTATCTGTAAATGGGTATATTTATTTAAAAAACCCTTAAAAGGGCTACATCAATCAAACAAACATTTTCGGACCACACAGTCCATCATCAGGTTTTAAAATCGAAAAATGCTAGGTCACAATGCCTGAGCCACCAAAAAACTAGGGTAAAAACCCTTTAAATTACATTTTGTTATAAAATATTGTACATTGTGTTGTAAAATACCTGTGATGTTCAGTATTAAATTAAATTTGGCTAGACTTAACACATGGCTGAAGCGAGTTCCAGAGCCTGTGAGAGAGAACCTCTACACGCGGAGAACAGCTGGGGGTTGTTCCCAGAGTTCCCAGCTGTTCTCCGCGTGTAGAGGTTCTCTCTCACCGGCTCTGGAACTCGCTTCAGCCATGTGTTACCTTTAGCCAAATTTAATTTAATACTGAACATCACAGTTATTTTACAACACAATGTACAATCTTTTATAACTAAATGTAATTTAAAGGATTTTTACCCTAGTATTTTGGTGGCTCAGGCATTGTGACCTAGCATTTTTCGATTTTAAAACCTGATGATGGACTGTGTGGTCCGAAAACGTTTGTTTTATTTATGTAGCCCTTTTAAGGGTTTTTTTAAATAAATATACCCATTTACAAAGACTAACCTCTTTTTTTTTTAAAATTCAATTCTGAGACTGAGGGTATTTGCCTACCTTAACGGGGGGTACCCTTTATTTATTTCAAAGACAGCATCTTGTTGCCAGATTTTTTCGTAACCCTATAGTGTCATAATGAGTATGGCAGGAAAAATTAAACTATAAGAATTTGTTCTATCTCCAAGTAACAAAACCAAATAACGTTTTTAAATTGAATGTTGAGGAGGATTTTCGAGATGGTAGCGAAAACGTCAAATATAAAGTATTTTAAATTAAAACTGTGGTTCCCCGTTGAATATTGTGGTTAAGAACAGAACTTTGGGGAAAAACGAAAAGTAGAAAAATAATTGCATTGCTTATTTTAGAAACAACCTGTCACATTTTGGCGATTTTGAGTTTATAACACAAACATGTATTTCTGTGGGTTACACACAATAACAATCATAGTTGGTTTTATATCGATTTAAAATATTCATATATTTCTAAAACCAACTTAGTCCCGGGCTAAGGTTGTTTCTGTACTAAATTGTCAGTTGTCATTTTGCATAACGACGTTTATCATAACCTATAATATTCATAGTGTTTCTTTTGTTTGTTCTTATTGCTGCTTACAAAAAGTTGTCTGTATATTGGAAGAAAAACGTTCATATTTTAATATTTTCATGAACAACGATCAACCAACCACCAGTGCTGAAAACGCTGGAGGAGAGCCTGCTACTTACAGGTGTAAAGGAATTAGAAAATTGGATGAATATCAGCGTAATGTTATCAGAAACTCTACAGGTAAAGAGCAAACATATGTTAGCTACAAAAATAAATCCATGGAAGCAAAGCAAATAAAACTTCAATGCAGGTAAAACAATAAAAATATAATATTTTTGAGTTTGCAAAATACATTTTTTAGGTATCTACTCAAATGTTTTGAAAAAGTGGACGAAGATCAAAGGAACATTATTTTTGGTAAAATTCCACGGGGAAACTAAGTTCCTGTAGCTGGCTGTATACCATATATCACAAAAAAATGTTTAAAATCCTTTATAAAAGGTATATAAAAATGCCTCAAACGGGCTATCACAAATATATTGCAAAACGTTTTCGGATTAATCAATCCATCATCAGTGCAAACCTGAAAGTATATAACCACTTTAATTAAAAAGAACGTTAAATTAAAATGTTGACAAAGGTTAGAGCAAAATGTGGTTAATACTTACGGTTGTACATGCTAGTAGCCACCAAAATATATGGGTCAAAACCCTTTAAATGTTTTAAATTTGTAGTTGTTTTACATTATTAGTAATTATAATTTGTGATGTTTGAGTTACCGTTGGATAGGTAACATGGCGGCCTATGACTCTACATGAGTAAAATGGTCATGAGACGAAGTGTCTACGAGGACCTGTTGATAACAACTGATCAAAATGACATTGTTGACATGTTAGGACGGATGTTGTGTCAGAGCAGTCAGTGTAACTTACGGTAGTTGTCTAAAAATGACAGATGTCAGCCTTAGTTAAAATTGAAAAAGTTAAAATTATAATAATGTAACAGTATCAACCATCAATATTGTAATCTGTATGATAAATTACAATAATGTAACAGTATCAACCATCAATGTTGTAATCTGTATTGTAAATTAATCAAATAGCTATATTTGAAACATTGAAAATTGGTTTTTTAAAAATTAATTCCAGTTGACCCACAATAATTTTTAAAAAACCAATTTTCAATGTTTCAAATATAGCTATTTGATTAATTTACAATACAGATTACAATATTGATGGTTGATACTGTTACATTATTATAATTTTAACTTTTTCGATTTTAACTAAGGCTGACATCTGTCATTTTTAGACACTACCGTAAGTTACACTGACTGCTCTGACACAACATCCGTCCTAACATGTCAACAATGTCATTTTGATCAGTTGTTATCAACAGGTCCTCGTAGACACTTCGTCTCAGGACCATTTTACTCATGTAGAGTCATACGCCGCCATGTTACCTATCCAACGGTAACTTAAACATCACAAATTATAATTACTAATAATGTAAAACAACTACAAATTTAAAACATTTAAAGGGTTTTGACCCATATATTTTGGTGGCTACTAGCATGTACAACCGTAAGTATTAACCACATTTT